CAGCCAGGTCTGTCTGTGTCCAGTGTCTGTGGCCAGACTGGTCACTGAGCCTGTCCTCTCTGGACAGCCAGGTCTGCCTGTGTCCAGTTTCTCTGTCCAGGGTGCGATCACTGAGCCTGTTCTCTCTGGACAGCCATGTCTGCCTGTGTCCAGTTTCTTTGTCCAGGCTGGTCACTGAGCCTGTCCTGTGTCCAGTTTCTGTGTCCAGGCTTTGATCACAGAGCCTGTCCTCTCTGGACAGCCAGGCCTTCCTGTGTCCAGTTTCTGTGTCCAGTGAGCCTGTACTTGGTCAGAGTCAGTTTCTCTCTCCCGTCTCTCAGCCTGGTCAGCTCTTTCCGTGCCTCTGTCTCTCCTTCCTGTTTGCCTCTCTGACTTCTGTGCTCCTCTCCTGGTGTCTCCTTCTCTCTTCCTGTGTACAGCGGCTCCTATTGTTTTGCTGTACACAGGAAACAAATGGGGAGGAAGATGGGTTTGTACTCACACATTCGTATTCCTGTCTCTGTTTGGGGACACAGTTTGTACTCCACACATTGTTAGGACACACACAGACACGTGTTTGTCTTTGTGAAGACCTGGCCATAGACACAGCACAGATAGACTTGGCTCTGTGAGCATAGTCTGGCCACAGAAACTGGACACAGGCAGGCCTGGCTGTCCAGAGAGGACAGGCTCAGTGATCACAGCCTGGACACAGAAAGTGGACACAGGCAGACCTGGCTGTCCAGAGAGGACAGGCTCAGTGATCACAGCCTGGACACAGAAACTGGACACAGGCAGCCTTGCTGTCCAGAGAGGACAGGCTCAGTAATCACAGCCTGGACACAGAAACTGGACACAGGCAGACCTGGCTGTCCAGAGAGGACAGGCTCAGTGACCACAGTCTTTCCACAGAAACTGGACACAGGCAGACCTGGCTGTCCAGGGAGGACAGGCTCAGTGACCACAGCCTGGCCACAGAAACTGGATACAACTAGTTTCTGAAGATACAGGTCTGTAGCTGTGTCTCTGTGACACACACTTGTGCCTCACTCTGATATGTGATGTTGTAGCACTGCTGGCCTGAGGCTGGCTGTGTGTTGTGTGTCTGGTGCTGTTGTAGCACGGCTGTCCTGAGGCTGGCTGTGGGTTGTGTGTCTGGTGATGTTGTAGCACAGCTGTCCTGAGGCTGGCTGTGTGTTGTGTGTCTGGTGCTGTTGTAACACTGCTGTCCTGAGGCTGGCTGTGTGTTGTGTGTCTGGTGCTGTTG